TGAAAGTATGCTTTGCCAAATGGTCACATTGAAGGTCCACTATGTACATTAAATGGTTACATCCTCTTTGTGAATATGAATTTCTTATTATAAGTCAAATCCAAAACAAATATGTTGACAAATCACATATGTATCTGTCGGGGCTAGTACCAAGCAATGAAATCAATCATACATCACAAGAACAATTCATCGATTATAATCATAGTACTTTCAGACGACAACCACAAAAATACCATGATGGCATTAGATATACGATCATCTCATGTGAATTGAAAACACAAATCTGAAACCATAAAAACATTGTATTGTTCATGACTATTTTCGTTTTTACATATTGGTTAATATATATATATACGTAGATATCCATGTGCAGTTCTTTTTTGAACATGTCTCATCAATTTTCTCATCTGCTCAGAATCAGAATCAAATCTGAACAGAATCTGAAAAATCGGAGAAACTCTGAAAATCTGAAAAAATATGAAAAATCCGAAATAATCTGAAAAATCTGAAAAAATCTGAATCTGAATAATTTAGTAAAGGAAATGATGAACATCTGAAAAAAATCAGATTTTTCAGATCCTGAATCGGACATGTATATGTCTGAAAACAATCTGAAAAGTCTGAATATGTCTGAATCTGAGTACCTTGATAGATCTCATTGAAAACATCTGAAACATTCATACTGTTTCATTTGAGTTTCCATTTGAGTTAGTTTTGCTGGAGCTTCTTTTCGAGACTTTCCATGTGCGGGTCCATTTGTTTCACTGTTGCTGAGCTCCCTTTTGAGATTTTCCTTTGAGTTTCCATGCCAAAAGTTTTACTGGGGCTTCCTTCTGAGAATTTTCTTTTGAATTTCCATGTGCTTTAGTATTCCTGGAGCTTCCTTTTGGTTTTTCTCTTGAGTTTTGATTTGTTCTAGTATTGCTGGAGCTTGCTTTTGATATTTTTCTTTTGAGTTTCCATTTGAATTGGTACTCCTGGGGCTTCCTTTTGAGAATTGTCTGTTGGATTTCCATGTGCTTTAATATTGCTGGAGCTTCCTTTTGAGATGTTCTTTTGAATTTCGTTTTGCTTTAGTTTTACTGGAGCTTGCTTTTGACGTTCTTCTTTTGAGTTTCCATTGGATTCAATATTGCTGGAGCTTTCTCTTGAGACTTTTCTTTTGTGTGTCCATTGGATTTAGTATTGCTTCTTTTTCCTTTTGGGACCCCTTTGAGTTTCCATTTGATTTAGCATGGTTGGCGCATTTCTTTTGAGATTTTCTTTTCTGTTTCCATGTGATGTAGTATTGCTGGAGCTTTCTTTTAAGATGTTTCTTTTGAGTTTCCATTTGGTTGAATTTGCTGGAGCTTCCTTTTTAGATGTTCGTTTTGGCTCGCATGTGGTTTAGTATTGCTGGAGCTTTTGTTTGAGACTTTTCTTTTTAGTGTCTATTTAATTTAGTGTTGCTGGAGCTTCCTTTTGAGACTTTCCTTTTAAGTGTCCATGCCAAAAGTTTTACTGGGGCTTCCTTCTGAGAATTGTCTTTTGAATTTCCATGTGCTTCTTAGTGTTACTAGAGCTTCCTTTTGGTTTTTTCTTTTGAGTTTTTGTTGATTTGCTCTAGTATTACTGGAGCTTGCTTTTGATATTTTTCTTTTGAGTTTCCATTTGAATTTGTATTCCTGGAGCTTCCTTTTGAGAATTGTCTTTTGAATTTCCATGTGCTTTTAGTATTGCTGGAGCTTCCTTTTGAGATGTTCTTTTGAATTTCGATTTGCTTCAGTACTCATGGAACTTTATTTTATACTTTTCTTTTGAGTTTCCATTTGATTCAATAGTGCTGGAGCTTCCTCTTGAGACTTTTCTTTTGAGTTTCCATTTGATTCAGTATTGCTTCTGTTTCCTTTTGAGTTTTTCCTTTTGTTTTCGATTGCTGGAGCTTCTTTTTCCTTTTGAGATTCGGATTGAGTCTCCGTTTGATTTAGTATTGCTGGAGCTTCCATTTGAGATTTGGAGTTGGGATTTGCTGGCCCGATGGACCATACTAACAAGGGGTGTTATTGTTTGGGGTGCAAGGGGCTAATGTGGGGTACCCCTTGAAACCCTGTAAACTTTCATTTTGAGTAAGGGATCTGACAAGAAATCAAAGCCTTTTTTGTGGTTTGGGCAGGCACCAAAGCATCCACCAAGCTTTAAGAGGAGTGTGGGGGGTGCAACTGGGAGCCCGAAGCAAGAGGGAAGGCCAGAGATTAGGAAGGGCCAAGTTTGCAGAGTACATGCCAACACGAATGAGCGTGTGAATTGTCCGTATGAAAGACATGTTTTGTCATTTCTAAGGAAATGACCTCAAGAAGCAACGGAAAAATGAGATAGCAGCAGCTCGGGGGGTGTTCCCTGTTGTTTTGTTTTACTGATGGTGTATTTTCTGAGTTGTGAATTGAGGGGTAATACGAAGCTAACTTTAGTCGGGCCCAACGAGTCCCGACTACAGTTTTTTCTTAGTTTTGCAGGGTGTTGCTGGTAATGCTGGGGATGTTGCTGTCGCCGCTGGTCTTAAAAACGCGTGGGAAAAACTGTAGTCGGGCCCAGCGTGTCCCGACTACAGTTTTTCTCCAATTTTTAAGGGGGTGTTGCTCAAGGTGTTGGTTTTGATACAGGGGGTGTTGCCGGGGCATCGGCCTTTGGGGACCAGCCTCTCATACCAATTGTTTGTTTGATTTTTGGGGGACTGCTCAGGCCAGTCTGGACCCCCCAAAAAAACGTTTTCAACCTTGTTGTGAAGAGGGCGCCTGTTAGAACCGTGTGGGCCGAGTTCTTAGTTGAAATGAAATCATTGATCACGCAGAAGTGTGAGGCACTTGCGCGAAGATACGTTTACTCATGATGGTCTTGCCGACTCTCGCAGACAAAAACAACTTGATATTCACTGATGCACGCAAACCTAAGATTTTATTGGGGGCGCATCACCAAAAAACCTTCGAAAGCTATTGTACAACTCGAAAGCTATTGCACAACTCAAAGATTGCACTCAGAGACCACCGTCAACACAAATATCAAGATTCCGTGTTGGTGCTTAGTCAGGACGTATTCTAAGCGGCCAAACACGGGCCGACAAGGCAAACAACCGAAGAAAACAAGCGTATGTGCAAAAGCCTTTTGACCGGAACAACTTGCCTTTCGGGGCTCCAGGATGGAACCCAAAAAGGACCCTCCAAGAAAAGGCTGGAACCCAGAAAAACGGTGGTTCCAAAAACACACGATGGAACCCAAACAACCCTCCCCATAAATATGAGACCAATCCAAAAGAGGACGGAGCCCACAAAAGGAACCCTCCAAGAAAAGGATCCGAGCGCCAATAGGGGGTATTGTGGTCAAAACGCTTTGCCTGGAAAACATGTTCGTTTCAGCAGTTTATTGACTTGCGGCCAAACAAAGGTAAACAAGGCGAATCACCGAAGAAATCAACATGTTCTTGTAACAGCCGCCGCCTTTTGGGGCTCCAGATGGGACGAAAGGGAACCCTCCAAGAAAAAATGGAACCCCCAAAACACGCATTCAGGAAAAAACCTCACTTAGGGACCCGCCAACGAAAAATTGGAACCCAACAAGGAGCCCTCCCAAACAAAGATGTAACCCAAACAGGAACCCTCCAACCAACAACCGACGAAAAACAATCGAGAGCCAACTAAAGCAACCCTCCAAAACAGCATGGAACCTAACAAGGAACCTTTCAAACAAAACGATGGAGCCCCAACAGGTGGCTCACAGTCGCAAACTTTCCAGCGCAAATGTAGTTAGTTTTGCGCAAGGAGCGCTTTGCTCCTAGCTCCAGCTCCAAAATTGCAGCTTCCACAAGCACAAGTACATTATGGACAATTGCTGCAAGTGGCATTTGCGGTACGAGCATGTACAAGCGTAGTATATGGCATGCACTTTGGCAGCTCCAACTCCAGTCGCAACTTCTCCACACAAGCGTCGTATGCGAAGTACACTGCCTCGATGTGGTCCACGCTATTGGCGACAAAAATGGCAAACTTAGCAATCTAGCTTGACCTGACACAGCGCTTGCGGTAAGCGGCCCGAAAAGGCTGCGTGGCTGCGTGGGATGCAATCTCTCCCCTTCCATGTGCGATTTGTCTATATATACCTGCCTTCATCCATGCCAAAATCAGGTTTTTCTGGGCTCTCCTCCTTGGCCGCGAACTTGAACTTATTTGAACTTAGGGAACTTAGGGAACTTAGCCTAAACGCCTTATAAGTTAGTTACAGTAAGTCTCTCAAGTTAACTTACGGTAGAACTTAGCACAACCTCTATAAGTCAGGTTATAAGGTCTACTAGACTTTAGCATAACCACCACACGATCTAGTAGAATTCTCACGAAGTGAGTCAGAAGTGGCCGTGGGGAACAAGTGTTCACACATTTGGGCAAAGCAACCGAGATCCATGTGGCACTCGCTGTCACATACGCCAGCGTCTTTGACATATAGGGGCTGATGCTCGCGCAACACACAGCTCCTGGTGAAGCACATTGCTTGAAGAGCGTAGCACCATGTGTGCGAGAGTAGCCTCTTGCAAAGTAGCTGTCATAGCCAATGGCAGCAACTGCACCAATTGGTCTGCTCCGCTTGCGCAGGAGTGAGTGGCATGCGTCCAGGCTGCAAACCCATCACAGCACAGTACAGAGAGTAAGGGGTTTCAAGTGAATGCACCGAAAGTCGTTGCAATTGTCAAACTGGCTTGAACTAGGATCAAAGGCTTCCAAAAGGGCAGTTGATTCCGGTTCAACAGAAGCCAGCAAAGAGAACCCTCGAATAGTGCTCTTGCAGATGGCAGAGCGGGAGAGCACCTTTATCATTGCCCCTGTTTTGGTTCAAGATGCTCTCTTGCGAAGTCCTGTCAAGGAGCCCCATGTCTAGGTTACCACGTGGCGGTCTGAGTCGATACCCTCCCAAGCAAAGGACCTGAATCATGGTGAGCTCAAATTACTTTTAACATAGCAGATATCCGGCCAAGAGGC